GTGTCTTTATGGTGTACTCTGTATTTCCTGAATTTGAATGTTGGCCTGACTTGCTAGGTTTGGGAAGTTCTCCTGGATAATATCCTGAAGAGTGTTTTCCAACTTGGTTCCATCCTCCCTGTCTTTTTCAGGTACACCAATCAAATGTAGTTTTGGTACTTTCACATAGTCTCATATTTCTTGCAGGCATTGTTCATTCTTTTTCATTATTTTTTCTCTAATCTTGTCTTCATGCTTTAGTTCATTAAGTTGATCTTCAATCTCTGATATACTTTCTTCCACTTGATTGATTCAGCTATTGATACTTGGGTATGCTTCACAAAGTTCTCATGGTGTGTTTTTCAGCTCCATGAGGTCATTTAGGTTATTCTCTAAACTGGTTATTCTAGTTAGCAATTCTTCTAACCTCCTTTCAAGGTTCTTAGCTTCCTTGCATTGAGTTACCGCATGCTCCTTTAGCTCGGTGGAGTTTGTTATTGCCCAGCTTCTGAAGCCTACTTCTGCCAATTTGTCAAACTCATTCTCTGTCCAGTTATTTTCCCTTGTTGGTGAGGAGACATTCTGGTTTTTGGTATTTTCAGCCTTTTTGCTCTTTTTTTTTTTCCTCGTCTTCATGGATTTATCTACTTTGGTTTTTGATGGTGAACTTCGGATAGTGTTTCTGTGTGGATGTCCTTTTTGTTGATGTTGATGCTATTCCTTTCTGTTTGTTAGTTTTCCTTCTAACAGACCCCTCTACTGCAGGTCTGCTGGAGTTTACTGGAGTCCACTCCGTATCCTGTTTGTCTGGGTATCACCAGCAGAGGCTGCAGAACACAAAGATGGCAGCCTGTTCCTTCCTCTGGAAGATTCATCCCAGAGAGGCACCCACCAGATGCCAGCTGGAGCTCTCCTGTATCACGTGTCTGTCGACCCCTGCTGGGAAGTGTCTCCCAGTCAGGAGGCACGGGGGTCAGGGACCCACTTTGGAAGGCAGAATGTCTCTTAGCAGAGCTCGAGCACTATGTTGGGAGGTCCGCTGCTCTCTTTAGAACTGGCAGGCAGGAGTGTTTAAGTCTGCTGAAGGTCCCCTTTCCAGGGGGGTCAATGGTTCTGTCTCACTGGCATTCCAGGCACCACTGAGATATGAAAAAAAAAAAAAAAAAAAAATCTCCTGCAGTGGCCCCTTCCCCAAGGTGCTCTGAATCAGGGAGATGGGAGTTTTATCTGTAAGTCCCTGACTGGGGCTGCTTCCTTTCTTTCAGAGATGTTCTGCCCAGAGAGTAGGAATCTAGAGAGGCAATCTGGCTACAGTGGTTTTGCTGAGCTGGGGTGCGCTCTGCCCAGTTCAAACTTCCTGGCAGCTTTGTTTACACTGAGGGGAAAACTGCCTTCTCAAGCCTCAGTAATGGTGGACTCCCCTCCCCCAACCACGCTCGGTCATCCCAGGTGGACTTCAGACTGCTCTGCTGGCTGCAAGAATTTCAAGCCACTGAATCTTAGCTTGCTGGACTTTATAGGGGTGGGATCCGCTGAGCTAGACCACTTGGCTCCCTGGCTTCAGCCCCCTTTCCAGGGGAGTGAATGGTTCTGTCTCACTGGCATTACAGGCACCACTGGGATATGAAAACAAAACAAAACAAAAACACCTCCTGCAACTAGCTCAGCATCTGCCCAAATGGCTGCCCAGTTTTGTGCTTGAAACCCAGGTCCCTGGTGGTGTAGGCACTGGAGGGAATCTCCTGGCCTGTGAGTTGTGAAGACCATGATAAAAGCGTAGTATCTGGGCCAGAATGCCCTGTTCCTCACTACACAGTCCCTCATGGTTTCCCTTGGCTAGGGGAGGGAGTTCCCTGACGCCTTGTGATTCCCAGGTGAGGCAACGCCCCACCCTGCTTCTGCTTGCCCTCCATAGGCTACACTCACTGTCTAACCAGTCCCAATGAGATGACCTGGGTACCTTAGTTGGAAATGCAGAAATCATCTGCCTTCTGTGTTGATCTTGCTGTGAGCTGCAGACTGGAGCTGTTCCTATTCGACCATCTTGCCAGTCACTCCATGCTGTCCTAATTGATTACATTTTAAAGTAATACATTTGAAACTGTTGATAATAGCAATTGATTTTTCACTGTAGGCAATGAATGATCTAGTTTATTTTTTAAAATATCATACACATATATTTACTTTTTGGATGTACATTTCTAATAATTTTAACACATATATAGATTTGTGTAACAACTGATATAATTAGGGTCAGATTAGTTCTTTCACCTCAAAAATGCCCTGTGCTTGTCCTTTGTAGTCACACTCTCCCTCCAGTCCTAACCCCCGACAACCACTGTTCTGTGTTCTCTCATTGCAGATTTGTCATTTTTTGAGAAACATGCTCTTTCTAATGAGCCTAAATTCATAATTCATAAATTAATAATGAAATGTATAAATATTTTACACCAACTGTTTTCAGTTACTCTCTTTTTGACTACATTAAGAGTAACATCCTATGATGAATATCTTTTTAACACAAAGACCTTAATCTGTCTCTGTTTATAACTCTTTCAATGATTCTAGAAATGTACATGTTGCAACAGTTGCAGATTTTTCACAATGCAATTTTATTTCAAATAACAGTATGAATTTATCCAATAGAAAATACGGCCTCAGCAATAGATTGTTTCTATAATTTGAGGTATTTCAAAGCACAATCATAACTATCAGAATTAAATCTTGTATACTAATTGAGCTTCCTAATTTAACTTACCAGTTACCCCCATCATTGATAGATATAAATTTCAAAGTTATAACTTCGAATTGAATTGAATTCCTTTCAAAAATTGTTATTTGATTGAAGCTTAAACAATTGAACTTTTTTATGGGGCAGTTTAAGAATATTTTGTTACAGCTTTTAACTGATTTTGAACAAAATGCAACCAAAATTTAGAAGACTGACATTAAAAAATCTAATACTCATTAAAAACATCTATATTAATTTTTATATCCACTCTTCAAAATCTCAGACATTTCTGAATACCTAAGAATACAAAGAAACAAAACATACATTGCCATGCTGACTTTCTTTCTCTAAAAAAAAATTCTGTATATTAGTTTCATCACTGAACTTTTGTATTACTGTTACTTGATGTAGTTATTTTAAAAATTAAAAGTTACAATCTGTTTTTCCATTATATTTTAATTGGTATGTCAGTTTACTCTCATATAATTATGCATTATGTGTACTTCTGAAGCAATTCCAAGTACATTTTACTGCATTGAAAAATTACTGTATCAAAAGATTCAAAATATTACCAAGAATAAGATAAATATTTATTTACCTTATTTTACAAAAATTACAAAATTACATAATTTTACACCATTAAATTAATGGTAAAACCATTTTGTTAACATTCTCAATCTTTTTGATGGAAGGACTTCTCAGCCTCTATTTTTAACACAGATTTCATGGGTGCATAAAGCTGTGATTTTTTAATTCTTTTTTTTTTATTATTGTACTTTAAGTTCTAGGGTACATGTGCACAACATGCAGGTTTGTTGCATAGGTATACATGTGCCATGTTGTGTGTTGCACACATTAACTTGTCATTTACATTAGGTATATCTCCTAATGCTATCCCTCCCCCTGCCCCGTACCACAAGACAGGCTCCAGTGTGGGATGTTCACCTTCCTGTGTCCAAGTGTTCTCATTGTTCAATTCCCACCTATGAGTGAGAACATGTGGTGTTTGGTTTTTTGTCCTTGCGATTGGTAATGGGGTGGCTTTGTGCATCACAGAGTCCATGGCAGGGACCAACATACAACTTCATGGAACACAAGTTGGTCAGACATTTTCCCCACCACTACCCTATGTGTGAAAGAGTTAGTTGCTACTAGATACCCATGCCCTTGTGCACTCAATCCTTCGCCCCCAACCTCTGTATTGTGCCATTATGCAACAGTAGAAAGGTATAGAATACTTCCCCCTCCTGTTGCCTTCAGACCTTGTTATTTGATTGAGACTGTCTTAAGCCAAGGTAGGATAAATAATTATTAGCTTTTACTTCCCCTCTTGCACTCTTGGATTCACATGAGAAGGCAGGTGACATCTTCTGATTCAAGGAGAATGCAGAGACATGTGGAGTAGAATTAATTCACCCTTAGACCTGGAAAGTCCAGCCATTCTTCAACTTGAAGCAGACCTTCCCCCAGTAAGCTGCAGACCTGTGAGCAAGAAAAATAATTCATGATCGTAACTGAGATTCTGGGATGGTTTGTTACACAGCAAAAGTTGACTAATACAGACCACAATATCCTGTCTAAAAATGTCTCCTTCTCCCTTCATTTTACAAATCAAATGTGCATTTTCCTTCCACTGAAACTTTCTAACATTCCTACTGCATTCATACATTAGGCCCTCCTAGCAAAATTCCCCATTATTATTTTAAAGTTACTCTCTGGAATATTCTTGCCTCTCTCATTACTTTATAAGTACTAACTTATGAAGTATTTGCAACATACACCTTCACTCTACTGGCTAGGTTAGTAGGCAAGTGCCTGAAGAGCATGAAGATGAAATGAATACAAGTATAGATTCTAGAAAGAAAGATGTGGTTATGCTGTTCCGTTCGCCTCTAGCCTGTTAAACCATATCTATGGACCTAACTCTGAACACTATCTCCAAAAGAGTTTCAATTAACCAGATAAAATACGCCATAACTTTAAGCAGAAACAAAATTCAAAGATTAAATCTACTAAATAAACAAGGTCTGTGCTGGTGTGTGTGTGTGTGTGTGTGTGTGTGTGTGTGTGTGAGAGAGAGAGAGAGAGAGACAGAGAGAGACAGAGACAGAGACAGAGAAACAGAGAGAGAGAGAGAGAGGAGAGTTTTCTTAAGAGAAGGAAACAGATGCAACATTTTGTCTTTAAATATTTGAAGAATACTTCTGCGGATGGAAAATAAACTTGCTCTGTGGAATATAAGTAGTGAGAACAAGATCCAATACCCAGAAACTTCTTCTCTGATTTGCAGAGATGCTGCTGCCATTCGGAGTCACTGGATATGGAATGGGCCACCTCAAGAAATGTAAGTGTGATTTCATTGGAGACTGTCTGCAAAGATTATGCCCACCTTTCATAAGCATAATGTAAGAGATTCGTGCCTCACATAAATGATAACATTATCAATGAATGTTAATGGAGTGTTTAATTGCCACCACAACCAACCTTCAAACCTTCCTTCCTTCCTTCCCTCCTTCCTTCCCTCCTTCCTTCCTTCCTTCTTTCCTTCCATCCTTCCTTCCTTCCTTCTCTCCTTTCTTCCTTCCTTCCTTCTCTCCTTTCTTCCTTCCCTCCTTCTTTCCTTCCATCCTTCCTTCCTTCCTTCCTTCTCTACTTTCTTCCTTCCTTCCTTCCTTCTCTACTTTCTTCCTTCCTTCTCTCCTTTCTTCCTTCCCTCCTTCCTTCCCTCCTTCCTTCTCTCCTTTCTTCCTTCCCTCCTTCCTTCTCTCCTTTATTCCTTCCCTCCTTCCTTCCCTCCTTCCTTCTCTTCTTCCTTCCTTCCCTCCTTCCTTCTCTCCTTTCTTCCTTCCCTCCTTCATTCTCTCCTTTCTTCCTTCCCTCCTTTCTCTTCTTCTCCTTCCCTTTCCTTCCTTCCCTCTTCCTTCTCTCCTTTCTTCCTTCCTCCTTCCTTCCTCCTTCCTTCCTCCCTTTCTTCCCTTCCCTCCTTCCTTCTCTCCTTTCTTCCTTCCCTCCTTCCTTCCCTCCTTCCTTCCCTCCTTCCTTCCTCCTTCCTCTCTTCTCTCTTCCTTCCTTCCTTCCTTCCCTCTTCTCTTTCTCTCTCCTTTCTTCCTTCCCTCCTTCATTCTCTCCTTTCTTCCTTCCCTCCTTCATTCTCTCCTTTCTTCCTTCCCTCCTTACTTCTCTCCTTCCTTCCTTCCTTCTTTCCTCCCTTCCTTCCTTCCTTCCTTCTTTCCTTCCTTATTTCCTGCCTCCCTCCCTCCCTCCCTGCTTCCTTCCCTCCCTCCCTCCCCACTGCTAGTAAAAAGCTATGATCATCAATTGTGTACCAGCATAATGTTCAACACGGGGGTTGCAGTGGCAAACAGACAGATATGTTTTCTGACCTCATGGAGCATTCCTTTGAGTGGTAAAGACTGATAATAAACTAATAATTAAGTATATATTGTAATAAATGCAAAATATGAATAGAGAGCACATAGAGGGCATAGTTGATATATTTGAAAATTTGCCAGGGTTTTCCTATCTCTATGCTATTGTATATTTTTTCACCAGTCTGGTCTTGAGGCCTGTCTCATGATAGTGGCCATAAGCTCTAGCCTTGCCTGAACAGAAATTCAGGGGATTTAGTCTTGGATGACTACAGTATGCCTTTTATTAGATATTTCTTTATTCTGGCTGACTACCTAATGCCTAAGTGTCCAACCTGTGACAATGTATCCCTCTAGAAACTTATTTATACTAAGACACCATTGTGACTTTTGTTTGACCTGTGTTCAGTTTATTCCTACCAAGATATCGACTCTGTAGAAGGTCCTAACTGGGAAAGAAGTTAAGTTTGGGTGGTTTATTCAGGTAAAAGACAGAGTAGGCAACTCAAGAAAACAACATGAAATAGCAGAAACAATTTATTATTTACAGGTCCCAGAAAGAGAGGGCAGCATACCCTCGAGGACCAATGGGAAAAGGCTATTAGTCCAGGACATGCATGCCCAACCAGTGGGTGGGGAATGAACGAGAGTGAGCCAGAGATCTGTGTGCTGAAGTCTTTATTATAATGCATGGCATTACTTAGGTGGGTTTCCTGCAGCAAGTTCTGATGGTGGGTTTAGAGCAAGCGGGGATGAGTTCCATGGAGTCCACTCTGACTGAGAGGCAGTCACTGTGGTGTATATGAGCAGTGCATGAGGTGTGTGTAGTCAATAAGTTATATCAAGGTTTTCCATAGGGAGATGATCACCGGGAGTTGGTTGTATAAAGTAGATATCTGGATTGGACATATTAAGAAACTAGATGGAGGTGGAAAACTGTAAACAAGGGTGACTATGCCCTGCTCCTGATATGAAAAAATTAAACATATTCAAAATGGATGCCAAGGCAACATAAAATTATAATTTTCTATAAATCCTAATTACAGATAAATACACTGAGTTTCAGACAGGTTAACATCCAACAGCTAATATGTGCCAGAGCTAGATTTCAAATTGAGGTCTATCCAATCTCAATGTTTGCATTTCCATTGCACTTCAGTGGGCGGTGAAAGTAAGTCCCTACTAAGGCACTTTCAAACCCCAAGATGCTGAGATTCATATGACATATGCTGTGTTCACAGATATCAGTGATTCAACAGTAAAACTGCTTTCTGTTTAATTATTTAATTATTTTTAGTAGCATTAGAAATATTTTTCTTTTTTTTTTTTTTTTTTTTTTTTTTTTTTGAGACAGAGTCTTGCTCTGTCATCCAGGCTGGAGTGCCATGGCGTAATCTCCACTCACTGCAAGCTCCGCTTCCCGGGTTCACACCATTCTCCTGCCTCAGCCTGCCATGTAGCTGGGACTACAGGCACCCGCCACCACGCCCGGCTCATTTTTTTAAATGTATTTTTAGTAGAGACGGGGTTTCACTGTGTTAGCCAGGATGGTCTCGATCTCCTGACCTCGTGATCCGCCCGTCTCGGCCTCCCAAAGTGCTGGGATTAGAGGCATGAGCCACCGCGCCCGGCCTAGAAATATTTTTCAAATTAAATACTGGTATGAAATTAAAATAAGAAGAAATATGGTAAAGTATAGGCTATAAAAAATGGTGGGACCATTAGTCTAAACATAGTAACCTGCATTTGTTTAAATACATAATGCTGTAAGATTTCCTGTGAACCCATTGAGAAGCTATGTTTTGTTTGTATTCAAAATCCCACCTCAAAACTTGGTATTTTCCCATAAAAGTGAATAAACTGATAAGGAGGAGTTATTTTCTGAGATACTTGCTGCAAAATCATGTAGACTGTAAATCTGTCTGAAGAATAGACCTGAATATTCTTTGTTATGTTCTTCCTAGGTATGGCATTCAGTTAAATAATTACCAGGAATTTAACTGCAAGGCACCAAAAAGAGACAGTTGTGTATATGAAACACATGCTGAGTTTGCACTCAAATAACCTGAGTTCAAGTCCCAGCTCTAAGCCTCAATGATCTTTTTTCTATCTGTAAAGTAGGCATAACATTGCTGATTTCACAGGGTTGAATGCTAAGGGTTGAAAAGAAGTGTTGTGCTATCCATAGAGAAACATGTCTTTATGGCTGAAGCTGGAAGCCATTATCCTCAGCAAACTAACACAGGAACAGAAAACCAACACTGCATATTCTTACTTATAAGCGGGAGTTGAACAATGAGAACACATGGACATAGGGAGAGGAACAACACACACTGAGGCCTGTTGGGGGAGTAAGGGGAGTATGGAGAGCATCAGGTAAAATAGCTGATGCATGCTGGGCTTAATACCTAGGTGATAGGTTGATAGCAAGCCACCATGGCACATGTTTACCCGTGTAACAAAACTGCACATCCTGCACATGTAACTGAACTGGAACTTCAAGTAAAGTAAAATTTTTACAAAGATAACATAAAAAAGAAACATGCCCTGTTATAAAACCAAGCCCTAAGATATGCTGCATTTGTCTAGAATAATTTCAATAGTTTCTAAATGTTCAATTTTCTATATACAGTGAATTTAAGCTTGTATGTCTCCCATGACACATACTGTTGAATCTCCCTTACCTCAACAGTTAAGAATTGTCCATTTATGGCTTATGGAATTGTCTCTGTCCTAATCTCTCTTGGAAATTTTTCTTTTGCTGCCCTACTAATCTTCTGTGCCCCATGCTGTTTCTATCTCATATCCATTGAATTAAAATGGATGCATCTTTGTTCCAGGGTTGGAACTATGTTTAGGGAGCCCTCCTTTTTCTATCTGCATTTTCTTAAATGACATCTCCCACATTTGTGGATTTGTATTGCTCTGATTCACACTGTTTCTAATTTGGTTCTGATTAGAATTTTCAATCTGCTGTAACGTTAAGAATGTGTGCTCTCTTTTAATATGTGCTGTGTGAAGTGCCTACCTGTAAAGCCAGAAGTAGCAGCCTTTTCTAGTAGGGAAGGGACACCTGGGTTGTTCTGGATGTTGGTCGTAAGTGAGTAACATTCAGTTGGTCACATCCTGAGACAGCCCTCCCTGCTGTGTAGATGTCAATGGCTTTAGGACGCGCAGTGTGCTGTGCTGCGCTGCACACATTTCTCTAGTATGCTGCAGCCTCCGATGTGTTGTTTGACTGATTCATGTCCAGTATATGAAGGCTATGAAAGTGTTTTAAAATCTTTAAAATTCTCCTTATGGAAATTTTCTAATTTTGTGTTATTACTATCATTGGCATCACCATTGTGAGCTCTTGTGCTTTTCCTATATCACAGAGCAGGCGACTGTCTATAGGAAAGGCTCTTCCCTCTCAAGTTGCTGCCTAATCTTGAAATTACTGGTATAAACATATTATATATTTATTATTTTGGATTAGATTCATTTCATAAAATATTATCAAACACCTTTTATGTGCTAGGCACTCACTCATGTTCTGAAAGGTATAGTCATTGGTATTATACTATGTACATTTAAAAAATAAATTTAAAGGGATCATGGAGTATTATCATTGCCCTTTAATGGATAAATATTAATGAGTGTTTAAATACCTTGTAGGTTATACTTCTCAAAATTGTCCCTAGACCAGCATCATTAGTATCACCTAGGAACTTCCTGGAAATATCCTGCTAAATCAGCATCACTTGGGAACTTCCTGGAAATGCCCTTCTAAATCAGAAACTCTGGGGGTGGCTCCCAGCAATGTGTGTTTTAATAAACCCTCCAGGTGATTCTGATGTTCCTTGAGTTTGGAACCCAGTGTTTTACAGGATGCCAGTTACAGAGATGGTGGCAACGGTGATGGGAGTGGGGAGGTAGGAGAGTTGAATTTTGATCATCTTAGGAGAAAATAAGTAAATGGTATGCACTTCCACTA